CAAACCTGTTATATTATAGATTATATAATACTGAACAACAAAACAACATCTTATATTATAGATTATACGATATTGGACAACCAAACAACATGTTATGTTATAGATTATATGATATTGGACAACCACATAAACATGTTATATTATGGATTTTATGATATTGGATTATATTAAAGATTATATGACATCAGAAAAAACAAACAACATGTTGTATTATAGATTATATGATACTGGACAACCAAACAACATGTTATATATAGATTATACGATATTGGATCAGAAAACAAACAGCATGTTATATCATAGATTATATGATATTGGACACCCTAACAACATGTTATATTATAGATTATACGATATTGGATCAGAAAACAAACAACACGTTATATTATAGATTATATGATAATGGATTAGAAAACAAACAAAATGCTATGTTATAGATTATATGAAATTGGACAACTAAACAACATGTTATATATAGATTATATGATATTGGACACCAAAACAAAAGAAACATGTTATATTATAGATTATATGATATTGGACAACCACACAATATGTTATTTTATAGATTATATGATATTGGATTAGAAAACAAACAACATGTTATATTATAGATTATATGATATTGGATTAGAAAACAAACAACATGTTATATTATAGATTATATGATATTGGACAACCAAACAACATGTTATATATAGATTATATGATATTTGACACCCAAAACAAAAGAAACATGTTATATAGAAACTATGTTATAGATTATATCATATCGGACATCCAAAAGAAAACAAACATATTCTATCATAGGTTAAATGTTATTGGACAACCAAAAAAACATGTTATATTATGGATTATATGATATATTGGATAACGATACATGCATATTATGTTATAGATTATATTACACCCAAAAACATATCATACATTATAGATTATATAATAATGGACATTCAAAACATGTTATATTATATGACACTAGACAAACATCTATTATAGATTATACAAACCGAGCAACCAAACAACACGATATATTTCGATATAAATATATATCACTGAAAAAAGTCATGTTATATCATTCAAATATTTTATCAGAATCAAATCCCCGGATAACCGAGTGCATGTTACAATTCTCGATTACAGATAAGATCATGTTATGTAGATTATTTTATAAGAAAATGTAACATGTCTACAATAACAAAGTTTACATTGATAAATTGAGACACCTGTTATCACCTGTTAGAGCTTACAGGTATACCAGACATACTTTATTTACAGGAATAGTGCCAGAGAACTCTGAATGAATCAAAGAACTCAACACATCTTGAACTTATATTAAATGTATCTTAAAAGTAGGTTCCCACGATACAAAAATCCTTTGAAGACTGCAGTCCAGTATATTATAGGGCCATTATGAGAATCAATGCTAAAGGGAAATTCATGAAATTCTTTATCTCTATCTTTGATCTGAGATAATAATGGTGAAAATATAATAGGCCTATTAACATATTATTTTGAATACGACTTGTCAGACTGAAAAATGTGCCGTTCAGAATATCTCGACATATTTTCAATATTCAACGAGAATTTTTTGTGATGTAACAGTAACTACAGCAGGAAAACAACACGGTCATTCGGCAATACTCGGCAGTTTTCGTAAAATACACAACTGTGAAAGTTCTGATTTCGCTCTCGCTAGACCGTTTACCACATAATATTTATATGTATGTATATTACATAAACACAACATATACACATACACATGTTTATAAATATAAATACATTACATATCAAGACTACGAAAACATGGGAGAGAGAATACTAAACAGGTAGTTGATGTACGTGCAAGAATGATACATGCTTCAGTCTATACATGTTTATTATCTACTATCTGAGATGTTATAGCAGAATGTCAGACTGATAATGTTCTTACTACTCAAAACTTTCCATTCATTAGATATCTTACTGAAAATTACTTACATGGAAATTACCAGATAGATAATATATTATACGTTGAGTTAATACTGGATTCTTTAAACCGTCTTCTTCTTGCTATAAATATCTTATGTCAGTGATGTAGAAGGGGGAGGCTAACTTTAAATGATAAACCGGGGCCCCGTGTGCTTTATGTTGTGCATGTTAAGGAACTTTGGACTTGGGAAATCAAAATTGAATACGATCACTGATCACACTGCATGTCACTGCTGCACATCTTTATTTGTTAAACCTATTTGTTAAGCCTATTTGTTAAACAGTATTTGTTAAACTTAAGGAAGGAAAATAGAAGCTACCAGAACACTTTTAAACTTGAGATAATTTGATTTTAAAACCTACTAAAAGTTTTGCAGTAACGCTTAAACCATTAAGAGATCAGAGAAAAAAAAAACAGTTCAGTTACCAGTTGAGTATTGAAAATATTTGATAGATTTCTGTTAGAAAGATTCTTTCCTCTTGGGCATTTTGAATAGAACATTAATAATGGATAATAATTGTATTGATAGATTTTTGAATTATTCTATACGTTATATAACAAATATGACTCTATTTACCTTCATTAATAAACTTTATTTAATTATAGTTACAGCAATTAATAAATACAGTACAATCTGTTTCATTCATTCATTTTAACGTAATGTTTATATTGATTCAAGGTCCGCCTACACCAATTTTGATAACTACATCAAACAAATTAATGGTAAATCACTGTAATACATTTAGCATGTGATAGAACCATTAATCACTCGTATTTACACACACTAAAGTAATTAATACATGTTTGATGTTTCCATCACGCTTATTGAAGAGTTTTATATTTTCATGTACATGATAATGATTAATTTGTTAAGCTTTCTGCAGACAAGCTAGTTTTTACTAGTCATCCAGTTTGTTGAGCTTTGTGCAGACAAGCTAGTTTTTACCAGTCAACCGGTTTGTTAAGCTTTGTACCCACAACCTAGTTTTTACTAGTCATCCAGTTTGTTGAGCTTTGTGCAGACAAGCTAGTTTTTACTAGTCATCCAGTTTGTTGAGCTTTGTACAGACAAGCTAGTTTTTACTAGTCAACCAGTTTGTTGAGCTTTGTACAGACAAGCCAGTTTTTTTTAATACCCATCAAATTTGTTAAGCTTTGTACAGACAAGCTAGTTTTTACTAGTCAACCAGTTTGTTGAGCTTTGTACAGACAAGCCAGTTTTTTTTAATACCCATCAAATTTGTTGAGCTTTGTACAGACAAGCTAGTTTTTACTAGTCAACCAGTTTGTTAAGCTTTGTACAGACAAGCTAGTTTTTACTAGTCAACCAGTTTGTTAAGCTTTGTACAGACAAGCTAGTTTTTACTAGTCAACCAGTTTGTTGAGCTTTGTACAGACAGGCTAGTTTTTACTAGTCAACCAGTTTGTTGAGCTTTGTACAGACAAGCTAGTTTTTACTAGTCAACCAGTTTGTTAAGCTTTGTACAGACAGGCTAGTTTTTACTAGTCAACCACTTTGTTGAGCTTTGTACAGACAGGCTAGTTTTTTTTTAATACCCATAAAATTTGTTAAGCTTTGTGCAGACAAGCTAGTTTTTACTAGCCAACCAGTTTGTTGAGCTTTGTGCAGAAAAGCTAGAATTTTTACTATCCATCAAATTTGTTAAAGATGAGGTCCCTTATTTTCACTTATGAAAATGAAAATGTGAATGCTTATATGAATAGAAAGTAGAGGTGTTCTAATGACTTGGAAAAATGCCAGTTTTTCCATAATCAATTAATAATTAGATAAATTACCAGCAGAATTCCAATGAGTGACCGATCAAGAAAGGTCCAAAGGTCTTTTTTTGTTTATCCAGACTACTAGCTATTTTTTTACTACCCATCAAATTTGTTAAGTTTTGTACAGACAAACTAGTTTCTACTAGCTAGTAAATTTATAAAGCAGGGTACCAACAAGCTAGCTTTTACTAACTAACAAATTTGTTAACAGATAAGTTGCTTTTTTGAGCAAATTCGTTTGCTGCTATATTGTGTGGGTTTAACTCCTATGACCAACGCTAAGTCTGAACACCTTTTTATGTGATGTTTAACCGAATTTCCGAGTGTGTTAAACCACATCAATAGTAGAGTATTAAAGAAGAAAGGTGACAATTCTAGAGATAAGAACACCTCCCAAATTCATAAGAACACTATATCAGTTTGATAAGAACACTATGTTAGTTTGATAAGAACACTATATCAGTTTGATAAGAACACTATGTCAGTTTGACCATTTAAACACATCTTAGAACACGTAATTTAAAGATGCTGACCAATCTGAGAAGGAAGCCACTGACACCAACTTTACTCATTAACTCATCGATAGATGAATAATCGTAAGTTAATCATATAATACAGACGTTACGTTTTATGTTTATAAACATTAAATTGATAATGAATGCAGCTTCCATTTCGGTTAGTGAATAAAGGCCGTATCGGTCGGTAGAGAGAAACAATAAGCGACTGTTCAGCTTGAAAGCCAGTACTTTATTAAGACAACCCTGTTCTTTAAAGTTCTTATAATATCTTATCACCTACTGGAATGATTTGTGATGACCATGTAATAAAGATAGAGAAAGAAATTGAAACATTAACCTGATTGTTTAACTAATTGACCATATGATGTTTGTTTACTATAGGTTTAATAGACCGCTTTATTTTTTACATACATTGAATTCCTTGCTGGAATAGATTATAGATAAGAATATTGTAAACAAATCAGATAATACCTATATACGTTTTGGTAAAAACACAACAATTCAGTTGTGGAATTTTGTTTAAAGAGATTCAAAAACAGGATATTTTAGCTTCTGTTTGTAGTAATATCTGTGGTTACTGAAAACCATCATTATTGCAAATGCGATTTGATAGTATTTTCAAAACAACCCATGCAATACCCAATCAATTACCTTTTTAAGTGTCTAAAGATTTGTGACTACTTCAAGGTTTTCTGGTTTTTTTTACTTGCAGTGCCACCTGTCAAACTATGGATATCACAGCATTTGAATACAACAGGAAATTTTCCAAAGAATTGAACCTTGGTGAATGTCCATCAAGAGATGTTTCAATTCCTCGTCCAGATAGGCGTAACACTGTAGAGTTCGCTACACAACCATGGTAGGTAATCTTACAATACTCTTAATATCTTTGGTTAAATCGTTCATTTTTGATTTTATTGCATCAGATAGAGTTGTTTTCATGTTGAAACTAAACCATCATAATAAGCTTATTAACACTAAATCCTTATCGACAACATCGTTATCACGAATACGGGTTTTGACATATTAATGGAGTGTGGTTTGGACACGATGATCAGACAACGGCCATTTGTGAGTGCATTGTGAAATATTTCCAAAAATATGAAATAAAAAATGATACATTTTTAAAAAGAGAAATGAAATAAGGTGAATTCTTGGAATATTTAACTATTATTTTCAAAGACAAAGGCTATATATCTATTAACACTATAATAGAAAAAATGTTCCTATTTATTTCAACAGCTTTGTCAAGTAGAATTTCCTTTCCTAGTTTATTTACATTCCATCTTTTGAAACCTTCAACGCCCAATAAATCCGTCATTTAAGTGTAGCCTGTTCTATTTTTGAAATACTGGATGAACCCAATTTAGATCAACATCAAGATCTTTCGAAACACTTTTTACCTTCAAAAATAATAACTCTCTGTAAACCTAAATATCAAATTAAATTTTTGGAGATCGGAGAACCCCGTTTCTGAAACATTTTAAAACAAAACAAAAATCTAATAACAGATGTGTTTTTGTAAGTAATTTCTTCACGAGCTAAGAAATAAATAAGTGAACTGTAACACTTTTCAGAATTAAAATCCGACACCTTGTTCATTTTTAATTAATTTTAACAGAAAGTAACATAAAACAAAACAGTATGCGTAAAATGCACCAAATCTGATTTTAACGCACAACTGAAAGTTCGTATATCATTTTAAAATGTATTCAACAGATAAAAGACCACCCCTCCCCTCTTTCACGTGCACTAAAATAAAACCAAAACTCAGTAAGATACCTGGTTGAATTTAAATTGGACTTAATGATACTAACTGATGTCTGTTCTTGTAATTTCTTGGCTACATGTTTCTGTCATAACACACGTGCGTTTACAGATTTTTTATTGATTACATTGCAATAGGGAATTCATTTATCTTAGAATTAGATTAGTTTGAAAAGTGCATCAATATATGTCTGGGTCGAACCAGTTTTATAGCTCAGTCAAATATAAATTCTGAAAGATTACTCCGATTTTATCTTTGTTTCAGATGGTATACCATCACTTCTACTAATATTTCCTCATCCTAAAGCCAACCTGAGACTTGAATACTTTTGTCCGCGGTTACCGCGCAATTGGTCATCTTTCGCAGACACGGTGACTCAGCGAGTTAGACACTTGCTCGCTAATCTGAAGGTCTGGGGTTCATTCTCGGCATAGGTCGAGATGATACCTTCAGATTTTTCGGTTTCCCCTGTCAGTGATGCAGGTAAGAGGGGCTGACATGGAAAAAGCGTATAGTCGTTCAGATGGGACAATAAATGGCGGCCCCGTGTGCTACATGCTGTGCACGATAAAGATCCCTCGACAATTGAAAATGGAAAAAAGCAGGCTAATGCCGCTGTCCTGGCAAAACTCCTACATGTGTCAGGTTGATTTAATAACTGCATGTCTTACGGATTCTTGATCAAAAGGAAGTGACGTAATTAGAACCTGATCATTATGACAAATTTGGTTAAGGTGTATCCCAATGCTCGATTAAGTCCATGTTAAAGCAAATCGACCACGTTCTAGATTTTTTATTTAAAATTCTTGCCCCATTGGAAACATATGACATTAATAAATGGGCGCAATTTCAAATTCAATGCAAAAATTTGCGAAATACTCTCTCTATAGCTACTGGGCTCCTTTAAATGAATATAGGTTATAGTAAAATAGTGGTGCTAATCTTATAAGAGGTGTAATTAGGAAAAACGTTTTAAATTGATAAAATAAACATTAACTGATATAACAGTCATAATACATCATTTTATTACACTCGAAACTTTACCAAATAATTCTAGATTAAAGCTAGTGTGTTAGCAATGGTAACATATGCTAACACAATTACACAGTTTTATCATGCTAAATGATTTAGAATAAGAGATGCTTCATTCTGATATGATCCATGGTTTAAGTAAAGGCATACAATAAAATGAAGATCCTCACAGGGCCCCTATTTGCCTCATATCTTGAGCCAGATGAAAATGGTACCAAAGATAAGACCAAGTGAAAAGGAACTTGTGCATAGCAGCATTACTAGCATGTCTAATACCATTGCTTTCTACATTTTAGATTTCTCGTGATGTCTAAATCACTTTTTGTTAGATAGCACCAATAGGCTCCCCTACGTATCCCCGTGTTGTCTACGTTTCCCCCGTGTTATCTACGTTTCCCACATGTTATCCAAGTTTCCCCGGTGTTGTCTACATTTCCAATATGTTGTCTACATTTCCCCCGCGATGTCTACGTTTCCCCCATCTTGTCTATATTTCCCCCGTGTTGTCTACGTTTCCCACGTGTTTTCAACGTTTCCCATGTGTTGTCTACCTTTCCCATGTGTTGTCTATGTTTCCCCCGTGATGTCTACGATTCCCCCGTGTTGTCTACGTTTCACCAGTATTTCCTACGTTTCCCCCGTGTTGTCAACGTTTCTCATGTGTTGTCTACGTTTCACACGTGTTGTCAACGTTTCCCCAATGTTGTCTACGTTTCCAACGTGTTATCAACGTTTCCCACGTGTTGTCTATGTTTCCCGAGGGTTGTCTACGTTTTCCCCGTGTTGTCTACGTTTTCCCCGGTTGTCTACTCCCCCGAGTTGTCTACGTTTCCCACGTGTTGTCGGCGTTTCCCACGCATTGTCTACGGTTACAGAGAAAAGCTTTAAACTTCAGAAACGATTTGGAAATCACATTAAACATGTGAGCTACAACAGATAATACGTAACACACTTTTTAAAGAAAATTATCGATAGTTTAACTTAGTGACGTAAAACTGTATTTCCTGCCCGTCCTATTAACGTGTTTGCCAGTTTAGGTCACCATAACTTGTTACCTATTTTTTTTTTCCTCCAGCCTATCCATTAAAATGTTTATTTTATAAAATGAAATAAAAAGTGTGAAACTCTTAGCCAAGATAAATTGAAAATGATAAAAATCAGAATTACCTAGAAATGTTGTAAAATAATTATTGATAGTAAAACGACTTCCATTCATTTTATTTATTGAATTTCAGCCAAATGAAATCCCATTTACCTGAGCTGTTATAATATTGATGTCTTTACAAGAAACGAATTTCTATATCAATAATGATAGGGATGATATTATCACAATGTCAATGTGTATATTGTTTTAAACTTTAAAGCCATTAGTTCTCCAAATTGTGGACTGTTTTAAGATAACTGCATAATTATATTCCTTCTACACCTCCATACACGAAAAGTAAAATATTTTGATCAGGGATCAAGATCTTGGCCAATGCATTGTTGGTACAGTAGACAGAAATGTCGGCATTACCCATATATCATTATACAAAGTGGGAGTCATCTGACTATTTCGGAGGTCCGTAGTCTATTTTAGCCTCTGATAGCTTGTGAAAGTTGTCGGCAGGCAACTAAAGATTTTAAGTATATGAAATCACCACCGTTCTAGACCTCTATGTAAATGATAACTGCTCTACCTATTATTTTCACCACCTCTTTATATCTAACTCTATTTCACCTTTATAGAAATGTATGCTACTGGGAACAATTTAGATTCTGAAGCCGAAGAGACCATTTATAATCAAAGTACATGCCGGTTTATTTATCACTGTTAAAAATCTGGGTGTCGTCCTTTCAAGAGATCAAATCTAGTAATAATGATATTTTCCAGTAGTGTAAGGTTTGGTTTAGAACGTTCAGATTTTAGCCCTGTTTGATGTTTTAATTCTTTTAATTGGCGGATTTCAACGGTAATTGATGTTAGTTGACTGTGGGTGTTTCGTATAAAGTCAGTTTACATATGATAACGTTTTACATGAGTTCTGGATTAATTCATTAACTTTCTAAGATCACCCGTTTTGACATTGAGTTAAGTTAAAGGGAACATATCCAATGTCCGTTTTATTAACTCTCGACACAATAGAAAAGAACCCGTCTTCATTAGCCCACATTGTGCAGAAAAGTATGACGTAAAACTCCATTCATTTCATTTCATTCCATTTATGGAAATGGGCAAAGAGTATCTGACATTTAATGATCGATTATTTGCAAATTTCAACAAGATCATTCTGTAACATCGTTGTTTTTTTGTAACATTGATTTATTTCATGTAAGAAGCAGATCATTCTGTTACATCCTTGTTTTCTGTAACATTGATTTATTTCATGTAAGAAGCAGATCATTGTGTTACATCCTTGTTTTTTTGTAACATTGATTTATTTCATGTAAGAAGCAGATCATTCTGTTACATCCTTGTTTTCTGTAACATTGATTTATTTTGTATGAAGAACAGTTGATAATTCTACATTCTTGTTTTCTGTAACACTGCTTTATAATGCACGAGTCTCAGATCATTTTGTTACATCTTTGAACATCCGCCAGAACATGTAAAATCTCCTTTATCTTAACGTAGCAAGTTGATGCAAAAATTACTAGTGATGAAACGAGTTTTCTGTTGACGCCTACATTATCAAGAGGATTGAGTGCAGTTCAATGGAGAAAACAAGTGTTTCTTGGAACATGAAATACAGACGACATGTGGTCTATAGGATTGTAATTGTTTTAATAAGTTCAAACCTATTTCTGTTTACACTTGATTGAGAAGACTGTCTGACATTTTATGAACATTTACATTTAACTCTTGAGGTATTCGAGTGGTTTGGAAGAAAGCCTTCAATGCGTAGCCACTTGAAAACATTCTGAAACACACCAGTCCTTCGTTTAGCAATTTAATTTAGCTGGTTTGAGTAATATTCCCTTTTAATTAAATTCTACATTAATTAGAACATATATAACACGTGCGCAAATATAATGATTTGAAATTTCGAGTAATATTTATATTCATATATTCATGTTAGATTCTTTTTCAGCTCTTTAAGAAAAAGAGGAACTGTAACATCAGTACCAAGAGAATTGAACGACACTCGAAACGTCCCTATTTTAACACCAAACGATGTAGTGGCTTATTTGGGTCTTTGTGGGGGCGAAGCTGCATCATTTCTAGGAATATTACACAAGGGAGATTGTGTTGCGGTAAGTATTATGTCCAGTTACATGTTCTTAAGGTAATATTGAGAGGGTAAATATATCTAGAGGATCGAAAATACGGCACGCCATTTTATACTAAACGCATATTAGTCAGTGTTTCAACAACTTGATTTAACTGTGTGGTGTAAAAGAGTACAATCATTAAGGAGAGTTAAGCCAGACATTGTTAAAGTTAAATTGGCTAGGAATTTCAACTGTTTTAAAGCCTGGTGATCTGAAATATGACCAACCATATTTCCCCATAAACTACGCACAGAGGCGGACGGAGCCGCCTCAGACCAAGGTGTTTTCTAGGACCCCCACAACAATACACAGCTGAACTTGAGAATACTACTTTTCAGCGACCCCTTAGTCCACCAAAAGTGCACAATACTAAATACAGCACTAAACAAATAAATGACACACGTCAGAACAACATCACCACTACCAACAACAGCAAATCTCATCTTAACAAACAACATCAAACAGTCAAATAAGCAACTGGATCTTGTTAACAAAGAGAGTTTTGTTATCCAATTAAAACCGACAGCATGATATGATAGACAATCCAACTGGATCGTGTTTCAGCATCATGTAAACAACCGAATAACATCTTAAAAACAGCAGCACCGCGTGAATAACCCAAGCGATCATACTAACAACTTACACAACAAACCAACATTTGTAACAACATACTAATAAACAACCCTGTTGGATTTTCTAAACAACCCAAAAAAATAAACAAACATTCTTGCTGCATTTTGTAAACATTCAAACAGCATATTAACAAACAACTCAGTTTGATTCTGATAACAAATAAACAGCATCTTGTAAACCACACCTTCCAGAAACGACTTATAATATTTACTTATTTGAAAATGGTAGCCCACTGTTAATACTACGTTTCAAATACAACCATTTATTTAATGATCGATCTTGATTTTTTTTATTTCAGATTGAAATAGCCAGTTTGTTAACATTCAATGATAAAACAATGGTTAGAGCTTATGTAGAATATTATCGTAAAAAGATGGACATTTTAAACAGTTCATTATCACCACGAAACGAATACGAACATTACTATGATGGTAGATATTACCTTAAAAATAGGAGTTACGGAACGCTGGAAATCATTATTGTACAGTTTCGATTCAAGTCTAAGAAAATGACGATTGAAGCTAAGAAAGTTGAAACTGACATCTCACCTTTAATGTCTGTTTATATGGAAGAAGTTAGGTTAAGAGCTGGTATGCCTACAAGTTTAGTGGTAAGATTAAATTCTTATTTGTTCTTTCGTCATATTATTACAGCATATGATTACTATAGAAGCTCAAAGGGATATTTATCATGACTTTACAGCTTTGTTAGATCTGTACTTTGCTGTTAAATGTTGTACAACTGTCTTAAAATTTTCTTTTCTGTTACAGGTTATACGGTTATCGACAGCAGGAGATAAATACGACAAGAAGAAATTTAGAAAGGGTGGCTATCAACAAGCTCTACGTTACGTTCAGGTTTTAGAAACAGAAATACGCCATGTTCGAGAAAGAATTATTGATAATGAAATTTCACCACATCTTAATTATGCCCTATTTCCCTTTAAAGAAGAACAACCACGTATGTAAAGAGTTTGTAAATTATAATTGTATTTAAGTTTTAACATCTAAATTTCATTTTGGATGATGATATAGTTATGAATTCATCAAAAGTGAATCATATTGGAATGAATCATGAATTGTTTAGTGTCTGTTATAAATCTTAGAGTGATAGGCAATGGCAATGAAAAGTTAATGAAAAGAAAAATTATGAACTGATAAACAATTTCGACAAAACCCAAACCCTTCTTGCCTGTGCACAGTATTTTCGATCCAAGTATTGAAAGTTTAAATCCGTTATCAACCCGACTGATTTGATGTTCGTCTTAACTCCAATTACAGCAACCGACGAACCTCTGACTGTGGAATACCTTCATGGTTATCTCCCATATCATAACTAACACATATAAACTGCTGCAACTGATATTTTGATGGGAAACCAACTGATAATAGAGTCAGCATGGACAACTCCGCATTCCTGAAAATTTGGAATTTTTGTGTAATACCTAATATGCTTCCGTGAATTTTGAAAACCTTTCGTGACCAAAAGTTTAAAGACAGAATAAAGCTATTTTATACTTGATATTTCATTTAGAACACCTCTGGATAACGTTGTTTTATAATTTTTAGAATACAGAATGGGCGCTAGTTTGTTAACATGGGAAAAGACTTCAATGTTAGAAGTCAGCATTAGACAAGGTATCAATATTGGTAAGAAGGCTGCTAGAAAGGTAATTTTAAATAAGAATGGCCGATTTTACAGTGGTCTCCCAATCTTCCAACCCATCATCCAACTATAGTTAAGATATCCATCAATGGTTTCAGCATCTGTTCTTGTTACAATAACTTTGGATTAGAGCCTGTGCAAGGTTACAGATTTACCGATGGAGATTAGAGCCCCTGGTAATGAAATCTGTTTTTGTATTGTTTTTCCAGTGTCGACATAGCAAGGCCAACAAACTAGAGTTATGTGTGCGAGTTAAAGCTTTATTGAAAAAGTTGAAAGTCACTCAAAGAGAAATCCACAAAATCAGATCCAATTGGATGACCTTGACATTGGAAGAGAAGAATAAATTTTCGGACGTTCATGGCACTAGAGTCAATAGCTATATCAATGTAATGAAACGACTCGCACGTGATGTTAGAAAATGGCGGAAACAAATGAAAAAGCAGAAACAGAAAGATAGAAAGAATCAAGCTAAAGAGCGAGAAATAAAGAAAATGAGTAGCGATCAACCTTGGTTTTTACGGGCTGGATAAACTGTCTCTCTGATCTTAATGCTAGATCCAAACCAAATAATATTATAAAAATTTGTGATTAAGACCGCAATGGTCTTCCATATATTCATATTTTGATACGTATATTGAATATGTTTAAACTTTGGTTGTGAAACATGAATCATGCATGTTGTAGGACATCAACGTCAAAAGAAATGTGAAATTTCAAAAAATCAAAAACAATTTATGTATGTTCAAAAACTATTTTTCTAATGTTATGTCATCTTATATTAAGAAGCATCGAACATAACTATACCGCACAAAAAGCGGTTGGTGGTGGTCTTACAATCTCTATCCATCGTATGAAAAATAACAGATCCCGCTACTTGTTCCTCTTGGATATATCAAGTTCTGTTTATCTGATCCAGCCATTAAACTACATACTGGACACCTGGGAATATCTATAATCTAAAAAATTACCAGAACAATTGTAATACGGTAATAGACGACCCGTGTTAAATCCAGAAGGCGCTAGTCTGACATGTTGATTAATAGGGCTAATAAGTTTTTTTTAAATTCAAATCGTGTTATCTTATTAACATATCTGATAGTTTTACTATATACTCTTATTGGTCAAATCCTATGTTCATTGTAAGAGATAGTAATCCACTACCTGATTTTCTGATAGAAGTTGTTTAACATTATAAATCAACTCTCTAGATTCCGGGTTAGAAAGTTTATAGTAGAAGCTACTCATTAGACACTAAGATCTATATTCTATTATTTTACAGTTGAGTATTTAAATTATAATGTATAATATTTATTATGTTAAAAATTGATATAATGTTATTGGTCAAATAAACGTTTATCAGAGACAACTGTTTGTTCTAATATCTATAAAGAGTTTAGTCATCGGAAAAAAAAACAACACATACAGAGTTGGATATAGTCGTCAGCAAATTCCAGGCGAGATGATGGTTGAGTCAGCAAGAATTAGATCACCGGTTAATTGATATCTAAGATACCAGAGAGCATACAGGGTGGGGATGGGGGTACCAAAGAACGAGAGCAAAGTTTTCGACGGGGTCAATAATTCCTATTAGTTTTTAGCCAAGCTCTTTACACCCCCATGTATCTACAGTAATGTAAAGGGACACCAAGAGCCAACGATAACAAGTTAAAGGTACAAAATCTAAAAGGAGCCTAGTCTTGTAGTTGTTATTTTCGCATCAATTGAGTCTATGCATGAAAACTAGAAAAAAATTTATTAACAATAATAACAATATTAATGTATTTCCTTTATAGATAGAAAAATGCAATTACACGGATATTTTGTTCACAAGAACATTGTAAAAAAGCATTACCATCATCTAGTATGTCACTTTTTGTGTAATTCTGATAAATTGAAGAAAATCTATACACAAAACCACTTTTATGGCATATGAGAGATTTCAAAAGGTTTTCTTTTCGTGTCTAGTGAACTTGAACTTGATTTCCATCACTCGCAATTTCATGTCCAACGTTTTGGGTTCAAAATTAAAAACCACTTCATCAGAATGTGATATATCTCAATTACCATGGTACTGTCGCAAATAGAAGGACAAAGTGTAACATATAGGCCAACAAATAGATAATGAACTTTAACCACATGTAACACAAGCTCAAATATTTTTTAACTATGCATCATGCTGAAGAGTGACAAAGCTGAAACAATTAATGTACAAAGCGTTGATGTATGAAATACAATGGTGGTTAATATAGATTAATATTTTGATATTCTCAGCATGTCCAATTTGTATATACATTATAGAAATAAAACAAACACATCCCGGATATGATATTATAAACTAAACTAGCTTAGAAAATCATGTTTGAGGTACCAATGCTGGAAGTCTGAAACAATATCAGGAAGACAAAAGCTGTCAGCACCAGTAAAGCTATCAAGTAGGAAGGTTGGACTGGAATATGAAATAATTTGGCCTGAAACAAAATCAAAAGAGTTTAAGCTTACAACTTCAAACAAAAACATTGAAAAAACGTCTATCTCTATAAGAATGCAATGTAATGCCAGGTTTGTTATAGTCTGAAATATCTTGATTATCATTCTGTATGTTTATGTCACCTCAACCTATCTGCATATAGGTAGTAATTCTAGGGTAGGATTGCCATTTTAAAGGAATCCTGTCAACGATTGATCATGATGTTACTGAACATGCTAATACTGATGCTTACCTTTAAAGTGGTGTGACCAATATAATTAAGAAATGAATCCAATTCTATCTGAGAACTATTTTTATATCCAAACACCCTCATTTCTAAAGCTATCTTTATCAATCTTTTACATATTGCATTCACTCTTGCTGCCTGAAATTAACCACATGACATAGGGTTTGTTAGCAGATAACAATCTATGCCAGTAAGAGTTCAAGTCATATTGGTCAGCAAGCAGCTTCACAGGTCAATCAGTCACTAGTCACTAAGTAAATTACATGTCATGTTTAATCAGTCTGAAAATTATCATGTCATGTTTAATCTGTTTGCAAATTATCGTGTCATGTTTAATCAGTCTCCAAATGATTATGTCATGTTTAATCAGTCTCCAAATGATCATGTCATGTTTAATCTGTCTCCAAATGATCATGTCATGTTTAATCTGTCTGCAAATTATCATGTCATGTTTAATCAGTCTGCAAATTATCATGTCATGTTCAATCAGTCTGCAAATTATCATGTCATGTTTAATCAGTCTGAAAATTATCATGTCATGTTTAATCAGTCGGCAAATTATCATGTCATGTTCAATCAGTCTGCAAATTATCATGTCATGTTTAATCAGTCTGAAAATTATCATGTCATGTTTAATCTGTCTGCAAATTATCATGTCATGTTTAATCTGTCTGCAAATTATCATGTCATATTCAATCGGACTCCAAATTATCATGTCATGTTTAATCAGTCTGCAAATTATCATGTCATGTTCAATCAGTCTGAAAATTATCATGTCATGTTTAATCTGTCTGCAAATTATCATGTCATGTTTAATCAGTCGGCAAATTATCATGTCATGTTCAATCAGTCGGCAAATTATCATGTCATGTTTAATCTGTCTGCAAATTATCATGTCATTTTTAATCATTCTCGAAATTATCATGTCATCTTCAATCTGTCTGTAAGTTATCATGTCATGTTCAATCAGTCTGAAAATTATCATGTCATGCTCAATCTGAATGCAAATTATCATGTCATGTTCAATCAGTCGGCAAATTATCATGTCATGTTCAATCAGTCGGCGAATTATCATGTCATGTTCAATCAGTCTGCAAATTATCATGTCATGTTTAATCTGTCTGAAAATTATCATGTCATGTTTAATCTGTCGGAAAGTTATCATGTCATGTTCAATCAGTCTGCAAATTATCATGTCATGTTTAATCTGTCTGAAAGTTATCATGTCATGTTTAATCAGTCTGCAAATTATCATGTCATGTTTAATCTGTCGGAAAGTTATCATGTCATATTCAATCAGTCTGCCAATTATCATGTCATGTTTAATCAGTCTGAAAGTTATCATGTCATGTTTAATCAGTTATACAGTTTTTGTAAGAAGTTCAGTGGAAAAATTGTGTTTAGTTCAGAAAGTTGTCAGTTTTAAGTAAACAAGCAAGCAGATTATGCAGCTGTTTATCAAATTTATTGGAGGAAGAAGAAACAAGAAACAACTTACCTGAAACAATGGGAAACCTAACATTAATGCCCAAACAATTGGAAATATTCCTCGATATGCCCAAACTTTCACCTCAACATTCCTATTTAAAGCCAGAATACTTATTCCTGCAAGAAAAAAAATAGCATCCCAAAACATTTTGGCTGAATATAATGTGCATATCATATATCTGACACTGCACTTTTCGTTTATTGAACTCTTCCACACATGCATTCTTTATGATTGGAAGAGTTTAAGATTAAGCTGTATTTGTTGCCTGCCAAATTATAGTAACTGTCCAAACCAACAAAATATATGATCAAACTAATATGGTTAAATCATCTTTTATAATTCAAATCATCTTATGACATTATTATTTTCAATATATTCTTTCATTTTTAAAAGTTATGGTATGATTTAAAAGAGAAATACTTACCAATAATACTTAATTCAGCTAAAATAACTAATGTTAATGATGTCATCTTAGATATTATACCATTTAATGCATTTAAACTTAATCTCAATAGTAAGATATCCTGAAACATACAGAAAACATTCCTTTGAACACAACTTGACCTGAGTATATTTCCAAGAATATTAATTTTGGTCACATGCATCATAGAAGATTTATTCAAATTATTAACACTTTTAAGAATCATTTTGTTTCGAATAAGTTGAGAACTAGATCCTTGCCAAAAAAAATTTAGTCAGAAAATGGATATGCTGGATCAAGGGATACATGCAAATACGTTCATCCATCTCTGATAAATTAAGAGAACACATACCTTCATAGCTATTCTGATTTCTGTTGATTTTTCTTGTAAACGTAAACAAATACCACGAACAAAGAACAATATCATCTCACATTGTGTTACATAGTTTACTACTACAGCTAGTATTACAGCATTCATTACCATTCTACCATAGAGTTCTATTGCAAACATAGTCCAATATCCACCTTGTCTAACAAAATATAAAATACTACATTAATATATTACAGCTAGTATAACAACATCCATAATCATTCTACCATAGAGTTCTATTGCAAACATAGTCCAATATCCACCTTGTCTAACAAAATATAAAATACTACATTAATATATTACAGCTAGTATAACAACATCCATAATCATTCTACCATAGAGTTCTAATGCAAACATAGTCCAATATCCACCTTGTCTAACAAAATATAAAATACTACATTAATATATTACAGCTAGTATAACAACATCCATAATCATTCTACCATTGAGTTCTAATGCAAACATAGTCCAATATCCACCTTGTCTAACAAATATCAAATACTACATTAATATATTACAGCTAGTACAACAACATCCATTATCATTCTACCATAGAGTTCTATTGCAAACATAGTCCAATATCCACCTTGCCTAACAAAATATAAAATACTACATTAATATATTACAGCTAGTATAACAACATCCATAATCATTCTACCATAGAGTTCTATTGCAAACATAGTCCAATATCCACCTTGTCTAACAAAATATAAAATACTACATTAATATATTACAGCTAGTATAACAACATCCATTATCATTCTACCATAGAGTTCTATTGCAAACATAGTCCAATATCCACCTTGTCTAACAAAATATAAAATACTACATTAATATATTACAGCTAGTATAACAACATCCTTAATCATTCTACCATAGAGTTCTAATGCAAACATAGTCCAATATCCACCTTGTCTAACAAAATATAAGGGGATACATTACAAAACAGGAGAGATACATAATCAATACAAAGAAGATACATAACAAATTAAACAATGGTAAGAATAAAAAGAAAGATCAATCTGTTTTAGTCATACTATTGTTCATACACACTTACCCAACTGTTTGGAATATTTCTAACTGTGGGAAATTAAAGGCCCAGATATAAACACCTTGTAGAACCATAGTAGATAAAACCCAGACAGCACCACATACTAAAAACCCTCTGAAATACAATATCAATAGGCTTTAGATGTAGACTTTAGAACCTGATTGACATATATATTGTACTTAGATTTAAAAGTGCAATTCTTAATTTCATTGATGATGATTTTTGCTGTGTTTCACTCAATGATTAAGATGCAACCATTACAATTTCATAAAAAACAAAAATAGTTTCTAAAACTGTAGTATTCCTTGTGCTGTGTCAAAAGTAATACTTACCTTAATTTCCATATCATTTTTTGTTGTGAGGCATTTCTATTCTGCTGTGGTGTAGCTTGCAGAAAAACTTTTTCCATCAGAGCATATAATTGTTCATTTTCTTGGATTCGAAAATAGAAAATGCCCATGATATAAGCCACAAAATGGAGAAAGTTTGGAACAATATAAGTGGTTATGAGATGTTCACAAGCTGAAGAGTCAAAATCAGCTTTACTAATATTTTGAGCAAGTAGTTTGGCTGGTTTTATGATCGAAAATGGAAATGAGGTAGTAGTAAAATTGGTAATATTTGGTGTAGTTGGTTGTATGGTTGTTAAAGTAGTCTGTACCTAGAAATATAATAAAATAAGGTAGTAGTATAATTGGTAATATTTGGTGTAGTTGGTTGTATGGTTGTTAAAGTAGTCTGTACCTAGAAATATAATAAAATGAAGTAGTAGTATAATTGGTAATATTTGGTGTAGTTGGTTTTAAGGTTGTTACTGTAGTCACTACCTAGAAATATAATAAAATGAAGTAGTAGTATAATTGGTAATATTTGGTGTAGTTGGTTTTAAGGTTGTTACTGTAGTCACTACCTAGAAATATAATAAAATGAAGTAGTAGTATAATTGGTAATATTTGGTGTAGTTGGTTGTATGGTTGTTACTGTAGTCACTACCTAGAAATATAATAAAATGAAGTAGTAGTATAATTGGTAATATTTGGTGTAGTTGGTTGTATGGTTGTTACTGTAGTTACTACCTAGAAATATAATAAAATGAAGTAGTAGTATAATTGGTAATATTTGGTGTAATTGGTTGTATGGTAGTTGGTGGTATTCTGATCACATTAAATGACTTAAACTATACTGATAATAGGTGATTTCCATCAAAATGCAATGACTTACATGTGTATCAACTTGAACATTGAGTTTCCATTGACAGGCAACCATTTCATAGATATAGGTATATATTAATAATAGCACTATAATAGATGGGTATACAATATTTAACAGTCTCCATGACCTTCGACCTGAATTGACCATTTCGGTACCAAATCCTCGCCATCCTATCTACAAAATAGTCATCAATGAAAATTATATATTGCAGATAAAATATCCTGCGACAGTTGAAAATTAAGAAAGAATTCTGCTACGTAAAATTATCCTCATTGCTAATTGCATGCATTGCCCTTCTTCATTAGGCCAGTCAGGGGCAGAAAAGTAGGATGTTAATTTCATTTGATGTTTATAGATGTCAAGGTCTGTTCTATCATTTAAGCCCACATGTAGATTTTTCAACAAACATCTGCATTGACCCTCGA